CTCTGATCCCTTCGTCAGCCAGTTGGTTCTTTTCCTGGCAGCTGTTTTTGTTGAGTTTGGCTCTTTTCTTGTTATCCTCTTACCCTTTGTCTTCATTGCAGTTTCTATCATGAAAATAGCCTCATTCAAGGGCTGTGTCAAGGCCCTCAAGACCTGTGGCTTCCACCTGGTCACAGTGACTCTCTTCTATGGCACAGTCCTCTCTGTGTACATGAACCACAGCTCTCAGCACTCCACAAACCAGGACAAGGTGCTGTCTGTGGTCTATGCCATCCTCATCCCCATGTTAAACTCTCTGATCTACAGTCTGAGGAATGCAGAGATCAAGGGGGCCCGCAAGAGAATGATGAAGAAAGCAGCACACTTACCTCAGAAAGGGTAGCATCTGGGCAGGTACCATCCCTAAGGGGAAGGCCAAAGTAAGACTGTGGAGGACACCTTTTATATTAATAGCTGCAAAGATAGATGTTATAATAACCTGGCTTCCCTGATTCCTGGTGTGTGTTAGATGTTTCCAGGTGGTCTGTCTAAGACAATGTCATTGAAACTGAACACAGTTTAAAAATCCTGTTTCTCAGTGCCTTCTGGTTATTACAAGACCTTTGCACTCACGAGCTTAGTACCTATGGTTGCCTACAATCAACATGTTAGCATGACTGGGGAAAGGGCCACAAGCTCTCAGCCTTAAGGTAAGGAACTATTTGAAAGTTGATGACTATTATAGGATAGAGCATTATTTTTTAAAAGGGATGGTCTCTCACAGTTGGATGGCCATATACCCGTGCATATATGAGTAGCAATAATTGGACTCAGTGGGTCATTTTTTAATGGAGAGCATGAAATTGAAAGGGGAATGTGATGATTATTATGGGAAGATTTTGAAGGTTGTGGGATATAGATATGAGCAAAACGTACTGTATGAATTTATGGAATTCACAAATATTTTTAACAAAAAAGAAAAAAGCTTCTAATGCTTGTAACTAGATCCCAGGCAGATGAAACCTTAATATTACAGTGGTTTTTATAATAAAGTGTGTTTTAAGAGCTAGTACATAGGGAGAGATGGCAAGACAGCTTTTTCATTTCTTCACTGATTGTGGTGATTTTAATTTAGCAATCTTTCCATTATAGTAAGCATAAAGCTATGTGATGTATGAAATAAATGTATGGAAATTAAAAATGAGTTGAAATATTTTTTATAATTTTAGGCTCAAACAGGAACACATAATGAGAATAAATAAATGGTAAAGATAGAAGAAGGGAAGGGGAGAGAGAAAGAAAAAGGGAGTGAAGGAGAGAAATCAGGAAAGAAGAGAAAGAAGAAAAAGAGAGAAAGGGAGAAGAGATGAAGGCAAGGGAGGGTGCAATGGAAAGAAGGGGAAAAGAAGGGAGAAAAGAGAAGAAAGGGAAAAATTATATGAGGAGAGGAGACATAGTGGGAACATACAATGTTTTTTAGGTTGCTTCTTAAATAAATAATCCTTTCCCTCCATATTGAAGTAGCTTTCTTGAAGCAGTAAGGTCACGTTCAAGGTATCCCTCAGCTATGTGGTGGTTTTTAGGTCAGACTGGCCTATAGGATACCCCATCTAAATAAATAAATAGATAAATAGATAAATAAATAAATAAATAAATCATGATCATATTTATACATGAGATCTTTAAAGGGTAGGCAGAGAAAATAAAGGAAGAAAAGAACAAATACAGATATATCACAAAAAAATAAAACAATAGTGAGGTATGCAGAGGAGAGAATGGGAGATACAGATTAAAGAGTTGAATTCAAAGTAGAAAATAGGATTGAACAAATCCTAAGGTCTAGTATATAGCGTGGAGATATGATTATAAGCAGTATATTTCATTAAGTGTTTCATTTCTGATGCATAATTCCCCCATCCAGTTAATGGGAAGAAACAATCAACCCTGAAAAGCAGATGTAGGATCATTTCCCATGTATGTGTGATAAACAAGACACCAGGGAACACAATGGGACTTACTCATGACAGAGCCACAACTTGTGATTCAACTATGAGAGCTGATAGTAGTCAATTTGAGTTGAGTTCTGGCTCTGGCCCTTAGAGCTATGTGACTTTGGGTAGATAATCTCTTGAAGCCTAAGTATTCTTATCTAATATGAGTCTATGAGCAGTAACTAATTAGCAGAGTAGCTCCTTAGTGGGAATTAACTTGAATAAAAAATTACTAAGCAGTAAATTACATTACAGAGATATAGTAAGTGGTACAGTGGTGACAAAAGCAGACAAACCAGTGGGACAGAATACAGAGCCCAGAATTAAAGCCTAACACATGTACTCATCTGGTGTGCAGCAAAAGCTTCAGAAAGTCATAACAAACAATCATCTCTTCAATACAGGGTACTGGAAAAACTATGTTTCTGCATGCAAAATCAACAAATGTGGTCCCTTATCTTACACAAACATCCATTCAAGGTAATCTTGGTCTAAGAGATTTAAGCATAAGGCATGACTCCAAAAATCTCCAAGAAGAAAGTATATAGGAACATTCCCAACTCCTAGACAATAATTTCTTAGAAAGTTCATCTAAGTTCATGTTCAAAAAAGCAAAAGCCAATGAATAGGATTACTTGTTATCATTGAATCTGAAGGCCGCATCCTCATTTTTTTGTTTTTTGTTTTATTTGAGACAGGGTCCTATTATGTAGACCAGGCTGGTCTGGAACTCACAGAAGTCCTGCCTCTGCCTTCTCTGGTATTACAGGCCTGCACCATCATGTCCAGCTACATCCAGGTGTTTGAATACCTGTTTCAGCTTGTGGCACTGTTTTGAAAGGTTATGGAACCTTTGAGACAGAGTCCCTTGCTAGCATGTGTTGGCCAATAGGTGGCAGTCCTTTGAAGGTTATATCTGGCCCCTTCATGTTTCAGTCCAGCTGATAAGTCACTTGTGACCTGTGCCCTATAACCTGTGACCTGCTCACCTGCTACTATGCCTTCTCCACCATGATGTCTTGAAACCTTCATTCAAAATAAAATGTTACTTCTGTTGGGTATTTTTCATCATAGGGACAAGAAAAGCAACTAATACACATCACCTGAATAACACCTGCATAGAAAAGGAAACAGAAAAATGAAAGGCTAGCTAGAGGCTAGGAACAAATATTTGCAAACCACATATCTGATAATGGATTAATAGCCAATTCCTATGAAGATCCTATGCAACTCAACAGCAAGAAACATGTGGTCCAATTAAAAATGAGCAAATGTTGTGATTAGACTAAACATTCATCCAAAGATAATTTTACAATGACCAACAGGCCTACAAGAAGTTCATGAGCATCCTTAGCTTGGATGAAAATGCAAATGAAAACAGACCGAGTTATGTCCTTGTGTCTGTTTTGAATAGCTGTGGTCAAACAAAACAAGAGATCACAAGTGTGGGCAAGCAAGTGGAGAAAAGCGAATCTCCTTACGCCATTGGGACTGAGTGTTGGTGACCCATTGTGGTAATACTATGGAGGCGCCTACAAAAAACAGCAAAAAAATTTCAAATGATGCAGCTATCCTCCTTGTGTGTGTATGTATAGAGGAAGTGGAACCAACACCTCCAAAAGATATCTGACCCCATGTTCACTGCAGCATCATTCAAGGAGCCAAGATGTGGAGACAATAGAGGTGTTTTTCTATGGATAAGTAGATAAAGATACACACATGCATACACATACACAAACACACCACAAATTCAAACAAAAGAGGTCACTGGAAAATATTAAGCGACTGGCTTAAAATGATTAGGGTTTACCTCTGAACCTTTAGTTAAAACCAACCCCATTCAAACAATGGTGATTGAGAACAGAAAAGAAATCTCTCCATTCACCTGTTTCTCCTCGGATAATGGTTATGAGAGCTAGGCAACAATTACATGCTTTTGTAATTTAACTATCAATGTAATAAAAATCAATTATATACAGTCCTAACAATCCAGTCGTTTCTATGCTTGTAGAAAGGATCTCTGGTTTCATTACGATATACACAGACATCTGTTGTTATCTTTAATTTAATTTCTATAAAATAAAAATAGATTACTACTCATGCTAGTGAGAGGACTCAGCAGGTAAGGGTGTTTTCCTACAAAGCCATTGACCTGAGTTCAAGCCTCTGGCCTCCACATGCACACACCAATAAACAGATGTAAATTATATTATATTATATTATATTAATAACTCTTCGGGCATCCCTACTACACCAGAAGACCTGAGAATTACACATTATATTGCTAAAAAAAACCTTACACAAACTTGTAAATATGAAAGCTTAATAATCCTTAGTAAAGGAGGTCCACACTGTAGACCTATTGTTACCTACACTGAATATTCATTAGAAATTCTCAGTTAGAAAATGAAAATAAGCTAGTCTTGGTATCTCAAATCTGTAATATAATATTCAGGAGGCTAAGGCAGGAGGACATAAATTCAAGGGTATCCTGTTCCACATAATGAGTTCTAAGTCAGCCTGAGCCATGTAGTGAAACCTCATGTCAAAAAAATAAACAGATGAACAGACAACATACTACTGACTGTATGATACTCCAGAAAAGACAAAATTATGGAGACATTTAAAATATCAGTGCTTTCCAGTTGGCCATTCATTCACTAGGGAGAAATGGACAGAGCACAGAGAAACACTTAGGACTATAAGATACTGTAATGTTGACTGCCTGTTATCATATGCTTGTCAAAGCTCACAATGATCAGCATCACAAGCGGAGCATAAATGAAAACTAGTTATGTGTTGGATGATAATGTTCCTGTGAGGATTTATCGATTGCAACAAAAACACCACTGTAATGCAGTGTCAGTAAATGAGGAAGGCTTCACTCACATGTGTATGGGTAGGAGAGAGGATGAGGACTCTGTTTACTTCCTGCTCAACTCTGATATGCAACTAGACTTACTTTAAAAAAACTAAAGTCTGGGGAATTTCGAGTAAAGGAGCTTCGCGGCAGGCCGGTAGCTGGCAGGCTTGTCAGGTGCGACCATGGAGGCCCTGGCTGAACCGCGGTGGCCTCCAGGGCTGGCGATGATGAAGATGATGAAGACAATAGATGATTTGCTTCGCTGTGGGATTTGCTTTGAGTATTTCAACATTGCAGTGATAATCCCCCAGTGCTCTCACAACTATTGTTCTCTCTGTATAAGAAAATTTTTGTCCTATAAAACTCAGTGCCCAACTTGTTGTGTGGCAGTAACAGAACCAGACCTGAGAAATAACCGTCTTTTAGATGAACTGGTAAGAAGCATGAATTTTGCACAGACTCGCCTGTTGCAGTTTGCCTTAGAGTCACCACCCATATCTCCTGTGTCTTCGGCCTCAAAGAACGTTGCTGTTAAAGTACATAATGCTGAAGCCATTAAACATCCTGTTAAACAGGGGAACAGGTTAATGGACAAGTTCCTGGTTAGAGAAACTGGTGGTTGTGTATCAGAGTTGTTGGGAAAAGAAAATGACAGGAAATTCAGCCCTCAAAAGGAGATAAATACCTCTGCTGAGATTAAAGAGACAAGTCTCATAGGAAAGACTGTACTTGGTCTTTCAGATGCTAATGGTCCTGTGACACCCTCTACATCCACCGTGAAACTGGACTCTAAAGTGTCTTGTCCTGTTTGTGGGGTCAACATTCCAGAAAATCACATCAACAAGCATTTAGATGGTTGCTTGTCACGTGAAGAGAAGAAGGAGTGCCTTAGAAGTTCTGCTCACAAAAGGAAGCCGCTGCCCAAAACTGTATATAACTTGCTCTCTGATCGTGATTTAAAGAAAAAGATGAAACAGCATGGCTTATCTACTCACGGAAACAAACAGCAGCTTATCAAACGGCACCAAGAATTTGTACACATGTACAATGCCCAGTGTGATGCTTTGCATCCTGAATCAGCTGCTGAAATCGTCCAAGAAATTGAAAACATGGAGAAGACCAGGATGCGCCTTGAAGCGAGTAAACTCAATGAAAACGTCATGATTTTTACAAAAGACCAAACAGAGAAGGAAATAGATGGAATTCACAGTAAATATCGTAAAAAGCATCAAAATGAATTCCAGCTTCTGGTGGATCAGGCCAAAAAAAGATACAAGAAAACTGGCATAATGTCTAAAGCTATAGTAATAGGAAAAGATGGACCTGTGGAGAAGCTGTCGTCTGCAATCACAGGACAAGAATATAATGTGAACTTGTCGGAAACAGTCTCAGTAACAAACCACTTTCCTCGGTCCAAACTGGACTCCCCAGGACAGTCGGAGCCTGAGAGACCGGATGATTCTTCTAATTGTACTGATATTCTTCTCTCCTCAGAATCAGATTCATGCAATAGTTCCAGTTCGGACATCATAAGAGACCTTCTGGAAGAAGAGGAAGCCTGGGAAGCATCTCACAGAAACTATCAGAACAGAGAAATAAACCCACAACAGAATCACCGCACTAGAGCCACCGAAAGTGCTGAGATTGAACCAAGAAACAAGCGGAATAGGAACTAGTATGGGCTTTTGTCAGCATTTCCATATGGTGACCAGAATATGATGTTTTTATTGCCATGTGTGCTTTCATATTTAGCAATGCCCAGGGAAGATGTTTAATGCTAAATATAATAATTTATTTTCATTCTTCTTTGCCTTTCTAGAAAAAAAAAAAAAAGAAAAGTTGTGAAATGAACCTTAACCCTTCTTGGTCAGTTGCTTCTTTCCTTTAAGATGTTTCTCCCCTAAAACCACATTGACCTGTTTTGCCCAACGCACACATTCCTTAGTGGGGATGTTTGCCTCGGCTTGACTTCTCTATTTCAGGATATTTTAAAGTCGTTTTTCACTTTTTTCCATTGGGGAACCAACCCCAGCAACAGCTTCTTTTTGTCCTCTTGATGGTAACAAGCTGGTAAGAGTATATATGCTTTTGTCACAGTTCACCCTCTTGCCTGATGCCAGGCCACCAGCAGTTACTGGTTAGTACCTAAGTTAAATGTTTTTGGTTGTTAGACATACCTGTGTTTTACATATAGAGTAAGTTTATAATATAAAGTCACAAAGTTAGTTTTATAATTTTTGAAAAGTCAGGAAAGGAAGTACTGTAAGGTAAGGTAACAGTCATAGTAACTCTGAAACATATGTATATGCTTCTGAAATGGCATCTAACAATTATTTCTGTTAGTATTTTTCCACTGGGGTCAGGCAGATCTCTAACACTTTGAATCCCAGCTGTTAAATAAACAAACAAAAAAAATGAAATAAATGGATTTTATCAATGAATACACAGTTTGTAATTTCCTTGAAATAGTGTCTTGAGAGTATTTGAATAAAGGCTATAAATCTTTAAAAAAAAAAAAAAACTAAACTCTACCTTTTAAAGACAAAAGCATGAAGCTTGACATTCATAGTCATGGACTGTGGTTGGCTGGGCTTCTGCTACTGTTCCTACAGGGACTTGTAGTTGATCTGTGTAGGCATAACCAGTTATTTTTTGTCTTGGGGAGCCTGGGCTCTGCTTAGAAGCAGCCTGTCTCCCAGGAGATTCCAACCTAATAAGCAGTGTTCTGAGAGCTAATGGGATAGAGTAGAATGTGTATGCCGAACTGGGGCCCCAGCACCTCATTGTGTAGACACGATCTTACCCCTCTGTTTTAGCTTTCCCTCTTAGACATATCTCATAGTCCTGGGACCACAGAACCTGGTCCAATTCAGTCTTTTGATGGGATGGCTCTGGGAAAGGCTGTCTGAACACAAGATGGGGAGAAGGACTGCTAGAAACCTAGTTGTTTTGCGTTACATTTTCAGCTGAAGGGTCAGTTTTCAGTCCTCCCCACCCTGTGCAGGTTCCTATTAAATTACTTTCTAGGGTTGTTCATGAGAAGTATCAATTCACTTCTCTCTAATTTTTCCTACCCACTTATGTTAACTACTATTCTTGTAGCTATGACAGAACAGCCAACAGAAATAATTTGCTGAAGGAAGGATTTGTTTAAGGGAATAAGACAGCATGATGGCAGATGGCTCTAATACGGGGCGGTGGGAGATTGCCTGAGAGAAGAGGAGAAACAGGCTGGCTACAATGATTCACTCCCCTCAGGGAGCTCCACCTTCTGAAGCCTGCAAACCCTCTTAAGACAGCGCCATCTGCTGGGAAAAGAGTTTAAACACATGAACCTTTAGGGACATTCCATATTCAAATCACATTTTAAACATTTATTTATTTAGTTGTGGGGCGAGGATACATACACCACAGCTTCCATGTGAATATCACAGAATTGTTTGCAAGGATTTATTCTCTCTTCCACCATGTGGATCCTGGAGTTTTGAACTAAAGTCATCTGACTTGGCTGAAGCTTTAACTGCTAAACCATCTCCCTGGCCCACATTTCAGTGATTCTACTTAATATTTTTTTTTAATTTAGTATCATTTGTAGGTGAACTTTAGGAAAGAGTAAGAAACCTATGTGGATTTAACCCAAATGTTTAACACAAAATTAAAAGTATTTACCAATTTTTATAGCCATTTCATATTTCTGGCATAAATAAATGATTAACATACTATTACTCATGTTGTGTTTTCAAAAACTTAAGATAATGTAACTTTTAAATCATTTAACACATTCAATTGCTAATCCTTAAGTAGAAAATTTGTTTTAATTTTCCTTTTTCTCTCGAAATAGAAATTGTTTGTTTACACATGTCTAATCACATTTATTTCACCCTAATTTTCCATTTAATACTTCTCTCACAAAACTAACTAGCATACATTGTTATCTTAGCATTTCCACAGTGAAGTGTTATTCTCGGGTGGCAAATATACATAAATGCATGAACATTTAAATTGTAAAAGAATCACATTTTTTCTCACTCCAAAATTATAATTAAAATTTTAAAAATTTAAATTGCAATCTGTGGGAGGAGACCAAAAACCTGAGGAATTCTGTATTGAAAGGCCAGGATAAAGAAGACCCCTCCTCAGCAGATAAAATAAGACCTAGAATATAGGGTGGCTAGCTGGTTCAGCAACTCTGTTCCAGGAAAAGGCTAACCATAAAAAGTTAGATTAGAATCTTACAACATTTTTAATGAGCAGGGAGTTTCCCCTTGTGATTTCCCTCGGGACCTTTCACTGGCATTCTTGGTATTTTGAGTTGGGGTTTCTTCCCTCACTGGTATTCTTGGTATTTTGGGTTGTAGTTTCTTCCCTCGGGACCTTCCACTGGTATTCTTGGTATTTTGGGTTGTGGATTCTTCCTTTAAAAACCCCTATTCCCAGCCATTTGGGGTCGAAACTCCTCTACCCCTGCATGGGATAAGAGTCTCGGCCCCAGCGTGCTGGTTCCTGTCAATAAATCTTGTGTGATTGCAGCAAGGATGGTCTCTCATGAGTTCTTGGGGGGGGGTCGCATCATCCCGAGACTCGAGTGAGGGTCTCCCCTCTTCGGGGGAACTTTCAGTATCAAATACAGAAGAACAAAAAACCTAAATACCTGTTCTTACACACTTTAATTGACCTGAAAAAACAAGGTCTACCAATGCACAATTTTTATGAATTTCACTTTTAAAAACAATTTTAAAAACAATTCTTTCATTAACTCTCTAAAATTAGCATACAAATTGGGAGCATGGGGTAGGAGAGAGGGAGCTAGGAGAATGACAAAGGGAGAAGAGGAGGGGAGAAGAGGACATGAGGGAGCAGGAAGGTTAAGTCCGGGGAAGAATGGAGGAGAGCAAGATAAGAGATATCATAAGAGAGTGAGCCATTATAGTTTTAAAGAGAAATCTGTCACTAGTAGAATGTCCAGAGGATGACACCAACTAACAATCTAAGCAATAGTGGAGAGGCTACCTTAAATGCCCTTCCCCTATAATGAGACTGAGACCTTATATGCCATTCTAGAGTCTTCATCCATTAGCTGATACAAGCAGAAGCAGACACCCACAGCTAAACACTGAACTGAATTCCTGGAATCCAGTTGCAGAGAGGGAGGAGTTATGAGCAAAGGGGTCAAAATTGGGCTGGTGAAACTCACAGAAACAGCTGACCTGAACAAGGGGGAGCTCATGAACCCCATACTGATCGCTGGGAAACCAGCATAGGACTGATCCAGGCCCCCTGAACATGGGTGTCAGTGAGGAGGCCTTGGCAAGCTATGGGGCCTCTAGTAGTAGATCAGTATTTATCCCTAGCATACAAATGGACTTTGGGAGCCCATTCCACATAGAGGGATACTCTCTCAGCCTAAATACACAGGGAGGGCCTAGGCCCTGTTCCAAATAATGTGACAGATTTGAAAATCCCCATGGAAGGCCTCACCCTCCCTGGGGAGTAGAAGGGGCATGGGAAAGGGGGTTAGTGGGAGGCAGGGGAGGAAGGAAAGGAGAGAGAACTGGGATTTACATATAAAACAAGTTTGTTTCTAATTTAAATGAAAATAGAAAAAATAATAAAATTAGCATATATAATAATGGGTTTCATTATGGCACTTTTATAAATTGACCCTTTTTAAAAAATGGATTTATGTGTTGTTGCAATAGAGTATGTTAATTATTAAATAGTCATAAAAATCATATTTGCCTGAGATCTCTACCAAAAAAACTTGTTTCTATATGTTTCATTCATTTTAGTTTATTCATTGTTGGTTTTTAGGGGTTTGGGTTTTTTTGTTTGTTTGTTTTTGTTTGTTTAAGTAGGCCTAGACATTTTCTAAGCATAAATAACAGGACAATTTAAACATTCTGAGACAAATCAGTAAGATATATTAAAATGCTAATATTAATTCACTCATTCAACAAATATAGATCAAATGCATTTGATGAGCCAAACACTAGTCCAATGTCAGAATGCTGAGGATCAGTTATCAGTGACTGGAGAAAGGTAGCCAAGAGAGCACTGTGAAGTCATCTCCCTCCAAACGGACAGCCTGATAACAGCATAGAAATGCTTACTAAAGAGAGGCTGCACCCCATCCTGCTGTGCACATCACCAGGAACTCCGAGGAAAATCACCTTTGGAAAAGAGAGTACAGTCAACTAAACAGGCCATAGTAGTCAGCTATCCATTGCTACAATGAGATGCCTGAGGCAATTAACTTAAAAGACATAAATTATTTTAGCCACAGTTCTGGATGGTGTAGTCTAAGACGGGATAGTCCAGTTGCTTTATGGCTGTGATGAGAGCACTGGTGCCAGTGGTGGGGAGCACACTGGAGTAAATTTCCCACATCCTGAGCCAGCATAACAGGGCCTCAGACCTTAGCACACCTGACCCTATGATGGAAGTGCCATTCAGGCTCTCAAACTTAGCACGCAGGCAGCACTGTCTGGCAAAATGTTGAAACAAAGACCTACTCCATCAAAGCCCGTAGTTCTGGGAAGGTCTCTAAGTGTGCTAATCTTGCTTTGGGGGCTTCTGTAGTTCCTCTTCTGGCTTACTATTCTTGTTAACTGAAGTGTATCAGCCCAGAATATGGGTTTTATGCTTAAAGCTCACCCTGAGAAATGCCACACTGGGATCCCAAACACCAGTGTAGTCACCAGCAGGTTAGTGGACTTTCTATTGGCTTGAATCCATGACTGAGCAGTCTTTTCTGGTGGATGCCCCATAACACCAGGAGGGAGAGAGACAGAGAGACTGGGTCCAACGCACTTACACGATATAGGACCTGTGAC